AAATTGTGTGATATTAGTTAATAATTAAGTAATTTTAGTGTAATTTAACAGATGCCAATAATTTTGAAGGTGTGTAGGGCATGGGTAGCACGATTGGGGGCAGTATGGTTGCACAAAAAACGTCTCTAGGTGTTTGGAAAAAAAATTCCCCAAGGTAAAAGAGAAAAAGAAAGAAGTAACCGAAATAAAAATTGGTTTACTTATAACTCGGTCAATATTGAAGCTACAGAGGTTTATTATAGCTTGTTTTGAAGAGGAGACTGTGTGGATCAATTTTTTCTAGGTTTGGACAGAGGTTTAGAAGCTGGTTTTAGCATAAACGGCAAAAGAAGCCAATTTAGCCTAAAAGGCTGTTGCTGAATGAGTTTTAGGCTGGTTTAATTAAAACTTTAACACTATATGTAACTTTACATAGAGAATAACTTTTATTAGAGCAAGAAAATAGGTTATCTTAATAAATTACTGTAGAAATAATTTTTTTAGTTATGCAGGTTTAGGCAAATTTTTGTACGAGTGATGAATGAGAAAGAGTTTTTTTTTACGATTTAAAAGTTTATGTGCAATAAGATATAATATATCCTCATTATAAATTATATCTTTTAAATCATTTAAAATTGATTTAGGTGTTTTAACTGGTGGTGGTGCTGGATGATTATGAATTTCTTTAGATAGCATAATAATAAAAGGATATTCTTTAAGGTTTTTAGGTATATAATGCCAGAATTGAACAGGACATTTTGAATTAGGTTTTTGAATAATTTCATGAGTAATTTTATTATCTGTTGTTATATGTAAATATGCTATAAATTATAAATTAATATTAATTAATATTTATATATATATTAAAATAATATTATATATTTAATTATTTAATTTATGGCATTTTTTTTGTTGAGCACTAAAAGGAAGTATAGTATAACAATGTTGAATAGTATTAGACTAAAAGATAAATATTTATTAATATATTATATAATATTATAATTTTATGAATATTAAAAAAGGACTTAATTAGATATCGCATGCTGCGATGTGCTTATACATTGCCTTTTAACAATTGACTAATTAAATTTGAAGATCAGGTGTAACATGCAAATTAATTTTGTGTAACAAAAATAAAGAAATTTTTAAAATTTTGAAATAGCTCAAAATGTCGTCTATGAAACTGCCTTTCGAGCTTTAACAAAAAAAATTTCTCACAAAATTTTGGTATATACTACACTCTACCCTAACCGCTAACCACTAACCCTAACCCTAACCCAATCTAGTATTAATTTTTTGGCGTATATAAATTTGTTGTTACACAGATCTACAAATTATAATTTAAATATACATGCAATAAATTAGCACATCACATAGTGCGATGTATTTATTCTTCTATTAAAAAATATTAATTTATCAAACCTCATTATTAACTTCATTTTCATAATATGAATAATCTTGAAATAATTGTTTTAAATAATCAATATTTGTTCTTTGTGATAATGATAATTATCTATGTCCTTTTTCACCACATTTATAATTTTGACATCCAATAAAATAATGTGGTGGCGATGTATCTTCCTCACGCTATCTAAAAATAATTTAATAATATAATTACAATTATAATATATTTAAATAATATATATTTAATAAATTAAATACCTGATAGAATTTTGCCAAAATTGGCTTTCCATTGCATTGCATTTGTGCTAATTCATTATAATATTCATATAAAACTTTATGTGCAGCAACAAATTCACTAAAAATAAATAATAATTAAATATAATTTATATTAAATTTAAAAAAAACTTACTTCAAAGTAGCATTATCAACAGATAGTTTATTAGCTTCAAATATTTTTTTGAATAATTCATTATCAAAATTAACTACTGTATGTGAAGTATTTTTAAACTCAGGTAAAATAAATTGACAGAATTTAACTCCATGACATGATCGAGTTTCTTTGTAAACTTTGGTATTTAAAAAAGAGCAATGAACATTAGTAAGAGTATTGAATATTTTTAAGATCAAATATTTCACATGCTTTTTCTGAATCCATGCCAGCTATATTATAGATGCAAGCAACTCCATCTGGAGCTGTTTCTGGATATTTCTCAAATTCTAATCAATATTTTACTTGTCTAGCAGTTTCTTTACTACTACGGCTTTCTAACTAAATAATTTCTAAAAATAACTATATTTATAAAATAAGAAGTATTAATTTATTTGCTAATATACGAGAACTTTTTACTTACATCATCTATATTATCTAATTTATTAATGGTAGAAGAACTAACGGCAGAGTTTGAAGAATAACTAGAATGACTAGAATTTGGCAAATAATCAAAATTCCACTTTTTAAAATATTAATATATAGTATCAATACAGTATTAAAATATTTAAATTAATAACATCGCTATAGCATTTAACAAAAACCAAATTAATATTATTTTATAACTTACTGTTGATAAATTAGATTCTTGCAACTCATCTGATATATCAGTATTCCAACCATCATCAGACTTATTAATAATTTGTAACACTATTTAAAAATATGTTGATGTCAATATATATACCAAATAATTATATTAATATGTATTATTATTAATATATCTAAAAAAAGTTTTAATATATCTTGACTATTAGATTATTGCAACTCATCTGTCATATCAGTATTTCAACCATCTGACTCATGTAGTACTATATATTTAAAAAAAAAATTTGATAAAAAAAATTATACTAAAAAAGTTACTATCGCTACTATATTATAATTAATAAAATATACATCTCAAAACATATGCATATACCTTTATTATTAGGCTTCTACAACTCCTCGGTGTTAGTATTCCAAATATCATCAGCCAAATTGAAATCATCTTGAAATTCTGTTTCTTTGTTTGTCAAATTAGAATCAGTTTCATTATCAATTATATTCATACTGAGGATGGTGAGGTTAAAGACGGGCTTACTGAAAAAGAAATCTCGGAAATTGTCAAAAGTGAAAATGAGGAGGAAAGTAAGGAAGAAAATGAAGAATCTATTGAACAAGAGAAAGTTAATGACAAGGAGGCAGAAATTTGTGTAAACAAAGCACTAAGATATTTATACAAACAGGGTCCTGAGTAGGGGTCCTACAAACCCAAATTAAATCAAACTTTAGGCCAAGTTTGGGTTTGATTTGATTTCAAATCAAACCTGATCTCAAACTAGCATTTAAAAAATTATTTGAGTTTGATTTGAAGCAAACTTTTTAGTTAAATTTGAGTTTGATTTGGGTTTAAGTTTGAAGTTTGCAAACTAGTTTGAGTTTGAATAATATAAATATATTTTTAAATTTTAAACAAGTTTCTTAATTGTCAGCCAATCAAAATTGCCTAATAATAAAACTATATAAATTTTTTTTAATTAAAAATATATTTTTTATTAACCTCCGGCTATAATTTTCTCTACAACAACTAAACCAAATTGAATGAAATTTTTAACGGAGATAGGAGAGATATTGGGCTACAAAATATTAAAATTTCAGCCCATTTGGATTAGAAGTTCTTGGGAAATTGTTTAAAAACTATAAGTAATTTTTTTAATATAATTACTTATAGTTTCTAAGCAATTTCTCAAGAACTACTAATCCAAATTGGCTGAAATTTAATATATTGTAGCACAATATAACTTCTATCTCTGGTAAAATTTTTATCCAATTTGGATTGGTAGGTGTAGAGAAATTTACATCCGGAGGTAATATAAATCCCAATTTATAATATAATATATATAGTATATATTGTATTATAAATTAAGATTTATATTATCTCCGGCTGTGATTTTCTCTACAACAACCAATCCAAATTGGTTTAAATTTTTACTGGAGATAGAAGTGATATTGGGCTACAAAATATTAAAATTTCAGCCAATTTGGATTAGTAGTTGTTGAGAAATTGCTTAAAACCTATAAGTAATTATATTAAAAAACTTACTTATAGTTTTTAAGCAATCTTTCAAGAACTACTAATCTAAATTTGCTGAAATTTTAATATATTATAACCCAATATCACTTTTATCTCTGGTAAAAATTTCATCCAATTTGGTTTAGTAGTTGTAGAGAAATTCATAGCCGGAGGTTAATAAAAATATGATTTTTATATTTTTTAATTATATAGTTTTATTTGGGCAATTTTAATTGGCTGACAATTAAGAAACCTGTTTAAATTTTAAAAATATATTTATACTATTCAAACTCAAACTAGTTTGCAAACTTCAAATCAAACTTTGTATGAAATTTGGGTTTGGTTTGAGTTTGATATTTTTTTATTTGAGTTTGGTTTGATTTCAAACTTTTATAAAATTTATAGTTTGATTTGGGGTTTGATCAAACTCAAATCAAACCCAGATCAAACAATAGAACCCTAGTCCTGAGTTTGGAAAAATTGAAGAAGAAGTAAAGGTTTTAAGAAATTTACACAAGAGGGTTCGGTTAAATGTCATAAAAAATCTTAAACAGGTTAATCTCCATAACTACTTTCAGAATACCGAATAGAGTTTTTTTTTTATTCAATACTGTATGTACGTACGTGCGGATGTACTATACTGAATAGAATTTTTTTTATTTTATTCAATATACCGAATAGAATTTTTTTATTTTATTCAATATTATATGTCGTATATACGTATGTTATAAAAAGTTTTTTACTATATCAGATATGTATGTTTGTATATGCATACATACACACCTTTTTTTAATAGTTATATAAAGTTATAAATAAATTTTATTGTTATACATATAATACGTATACTGTATATGATTCGTGATCACATATATATAATTTTATTGGTTCGCTACTTATACTGAATGGTTCAGTATAGAAAGCAAACTGTATAAAGTGAACTCACTCTATACCAAACAAAAAACTCCAGAACATGCAGTTCGGTATAGAGAGAGTCAACTGTACTTGTATTCTCATTCTACAGTTCTATACCCGATTCAGTTATAAATCATAAAAATGTATTAATAATCTACTAACAAATTACTACGAAAAATATAACAAGTAAAAGTTACTTGTTAATGCAGTGAGTAAACTTTGAAAGGTTTGTAATTTATTGAAATAGATATGTGGGGAAAAAGTAAGTAGATTTGTTTAATTTTAGTTTAATTTTTTGGTAAATTTATTTTAATGTTAAAATTATTATTTTGAGAATTTATGGTAATTATAAAATATGAAGAATGAGATAGTAGTTTATCTAGTATTGTGAAATTAAGAAGTTAAACTTGAATAAAATAAATAAATTTAAGGAATTTGATTAATAAGCGATTGTTAGTTATTGAGTAATTAAGATATAAAAATAAATAAGATTAGATTCATGTATGGATTGATTGAGTTCAATAGGAAATGTAAAGTATTTAGTAGGTGAGATTGAGATTAATTTGAGATTTTGATCAGTAGGTTTTAGGTTTATAAAAGAATTTTATGGTAATTTAAAAGTGAGTATAAGATATTAATATAATGTAAGAGGTTGAAGTAATAAAGAATGAAAAAAAATATAAATAAAAAATAGAGATAGTTGATTTGTAGCTAGGAGCGAATAATTTGTAATTAGGGTAGATTGTTAATATTTAGGGAAGTAATTTGAAATTATGATATTTGGTTTTGATTAGGAGAATAATAAAAAAAGGAGGTTTAGAATACGAATAGAAAAAGGTGCATTAAGAGAAGTGTTGAAAGTATTTAAGATTAAATATTATGATTTATAAAGGTAAATAAGGTTAAAGTTTAATTGTATATATTGTGATGTATTTAGGTAGAAGTTAATAATGATACGTATTAAATATTACGACGTATAGTAAGTAGAAGAAGAGAAGTAAGATTAATATTAAAAATAAATTTGTTTAGTTTTGTTAAAAGTGAGATATTTTTTTGGGTTTAATGTAGTTAGTTATCGTTAATTTGGTGTGCTAATGTTTAAGAATGTAAATATTAAAGAATTAATATTTGTAGATAAGTAAGGTAGAATATGTAAAAGTATTTAATATATAGTAAGAGATTAGGTTAAGGTGTAGATTTAAAATAATCGAGAGATTTTAAATATGAATTTAAGATTTTGGTATTAATGGGTTAAAGAAATTTTTTTTATTTGGTAAAGTAATATTATTTATGTGAGTGTTGATGATTTTAGACTATATGTTTATTGATATACATAATATATATAAAGGTAGATATTGCGTATATAATTTATATTTAGTTGTTGAGATTAGGTATGTTAAATGAAGACGCAAGCTATTGATGGTTAGTGTAATATATACGGTGATGTTATAGGGAGATTATAGATAATTAATATAGGAGTGGGTAAAATTTGTATAAGATATTGAAACAGTAATTTAACTATGTCGTTTAGATAAATGAAGTTTTTGTAAGAATGGTGGATTAAATATTATGTTACTTAAGATAAGATTATAAGTTATGTAGACCTCGTTCGTGAATAGTTAATAATCTTTTATATTCTTTTAAAGCAGAATTTGGAGTTATTAGATATCTAGAATCGAAGGTTAAGAGGTGTAAGGTTTCCTATAATGTAGCTTAACTCATAGCAATATAGGCTTGGCCTTCAGCAAAAATGGACTCATCTATGCTAGTAGTGACATAAGGTAAGGTTAAACCTTGCACTTTGTGTATAGTTAGAGCAAAAGCATTTTGTAGAGAGAATTGGCGTCGGGATGCAGTTTGGCCGTTAATATAAAAATAAAAAGTTTCTTTTTAAACTAATATTTTACTTATTGCTTCACAAGTAGGAAAAGTAACTTCTATATTATTATTGTCTATAATTTTGGTTATGATTTCGATAGTACCATTGCAGATACCATCATCAAATAGTTTGTTATTTAGGAACATTACTCAGGCTCCTTCTTGCAAATATATAGTGCTAGGTAGTTTTAAATTGAGATAATGAATGATCAGGAGGTAATAGTTCAAAGTTTAGGAAGTCAGTTGAATTAGAAATTATGGGTTCACATGAATTATAGTCTAGGAAAAGATATTGGCAGAGTAAATGGTTTATGCAATTTGCGGCTTGATGTGTAGGTACTATATGTGTGGTGTTAAAAAAGTTGCTAGGTGAGGTATGAGGGTTTATTTTAGATTGGATAATGGAGTGGCTTAAATTAGATAATTTTCTAACTCTAATTTCTTGTAGTATATCATAGAATGCTGTATTATAAAGTTGTATTTGAGGAGTAGTAAGGAATAAGGGAAAAAAACAGAGCCAGGCTAGAGATCGAAAAACAGGAAGAGGACGTACAGGTGGTAATTGAGCTAGATCACCTACTACTAAAAGAGGTAAGCCTCCAAAGAGAAGATTATTGTTGTGAATCTTTGCGAAAGTATTGCTAATAAATGTTAATAAATCATGGATATTTCATTAATTATAAGAAATTTAATTTTTTTTAATTCATTTATTTTTTCAGGATCAGAACAGATAAGGGTTTTATACTGGTTTTTGTGAAACCTTATTTTTAGAGTTGAGTGAATTGTTTTTCCGCCGATGTTTTGAGCTGCGACACCAGTTGGCGCCATTAAAAGATATTTTTTTCTTTTTGAGGAGAAGTAAGAAATAATTTGGAGAAGCATAAAAGTTTTGCCAGTTCCTGCGGAACCAGTTAAAAAGAAGTAAGGGTA